ATGTGTTTGGACTGTGGGGGAAACCGGAGCACCCGGAGGAAACCAACACCAACACAGGGAGAACATGCAAACTCCACATAGAAATGCCAACTGACCCAGCCAGGACTCGAACTAGCGACCTTCTTGCTGTGAGGCGATCGTGCTACCCACTGCAACACCATGACACCCATAAATAATTGTAAATATGTATCTAAATATATGATGCATGTTTGTTTTTATATATACATAATAGATTTACACAGTATGTACACACACTACGCCAATAAAAACTTTAATGTTGAAGCAGTTAATCATGCTTAATTTGACAATGCTTACTTAAATTTACTAAAATCATAAAAATGAATTATTTATTGAACAAAATCAGAGTTATTTAATATTAATAATAATAAGAATAATAATAAGACAATACAAAATAAACATGATAAATACAATAATCATAACTGCTGAATGTTTGTATTAATAATTGTTCTTCTTTTAAATCACGATTTTCCTTCATAGACTATAATAAACGCATGCAGCAGAGATGTTTAAGGAGGTTTATTATATAATGTTGTGCTGCATATTAATAATGAGGCTTTATCACAGATGCAGATGATGAGTGTTTATTGGCCATAACTGTTTATTAGTGGCGCTAAAACACTGAAACATCGATAATGATGAATCATTCCTGCTCTCAAACGCTAGTGTGAAACCGCAGCTTTACTAGTGATGGAGTTTATTAATTGTGTTATTGTATTGTGTGTCCGTGCGTGCGTGCGTGTGTGCATGTGTGCCTGCGTGTGCGTGCGTGCGTGCGTGCGTGCGTGCATGCGCGTGTGTGTGTGTGTGTGTGTGTGTGTGTGTGTGTGTGTGTCAGTGACAGTCAAACATTCATGTTTTGTGTGTGTGTTGATGTTCATCCTGGTGTTTTTGTGTTGTCGCAGGTTTATTTACCGATGCTGGAGAGATTCGCCAAACTAGAGGAACAACTACTGAGATGATCAACACACACACACATGCTGTACAAACTCAGTGTACAAACAAACACACTCATACACACAGTACAAACACATACTTTACAAACATGCACACACACACACAAACTATACAAACACATATTGTACAAACACATACACACTCTTACACAAAACAAAACAAACACACTGTACAAACATGCTTGCACACATACATACTGTACAAACACATGCTGTACAAACGTGTGCACACACATACACATACTGTACACACACACATACATACTGTGCAAACAAATGCACACACAATCATGCACAAACACTCATGCACAAACACAAACAAACGCACACACACATACTGTACCAACACAAACTGTACAAACAAACATGTTCACAAATACATACACATACTGTATGCACACACACACACACACACACACATGCACAAACAAACACAATGATACACAAAGAAACACAAACACACACACAGTGCACAGATGCCTATTACTAAGTGTCATTAATACTAAAGCATAATATTAATAATAACACAAACCTATTTTAAAAGTGATCATCAATGGACATTAAAAATGTTCTCATATAAATGTAATTAATAATAAAGATTTTAATTATTACATCAGAGAATAACTACAATATTAAACTGAATGAGGAAAGATAAAATCATGAATAACAAAATACGCAAAACTGATCCTTTACGGATATCTGCTCACATTTAATTACTAAACTTCCCTTCAGTCTTCATGAAGCTGTGATTCCTGTGCTGAAGCTCTGTTCAGGATGAAGAATCTGATTCTGCAATAAATGTGATTGTCAAGGTCTGATCGCTTCTGATGCTCATTTAGTTCTGCAGCTTCTCACGTGATTTTCATTCATTTCCAATGAGAATAATGGAGTCTCCGACTGACCAAATGCAGATCCAGCAGTACTGGGAAACACCCATACACACTCATTCACACACACTCATACACTACAGCCAATTTAGTTCATCAGTTCCCCTATAGCGCATGTGTTTGGACTGTGGTGGAAACCGGAGCACCCGGAAGAAACCCACGCCAACACGGGGAGAACATGCAAACTCCACACAGAAACACCAACTGACCCAGGCGGGACTCCAACTAGCGACCTTCTTACTTTGAGGCCACAGTGCTGACCACTGAGCCACCGTGCCACCGAAATTCTACTAATGAAAAGTACTAATTTAAACAGCAGAAAGCCGCTCGGGCAGAGTTTGTGGAGTCTGCTGTGATTTCTGGCACATATAGTGTCATTCTCGCATACAGTGGCAGAAATTCGTGTAAAGCAACATGAGCTCCAACAAAGACGCAGAACTTCAAAGATGAAAACAACAGTGACAAATCCATCAAATCCATCCGTCTGAAGATCTGGATGAAACACTTCACACTGACGCACACTGAGACTCAGACTCAATGCTGTAGTGACACAGAGCAAGTAGAAGAGCTCTAATCATGTACAACAACATCATGCATTTGTCTTTCCTTTATCTGCATGTCTCAGCAAACTTATGTTACGAAATGCTAGAATTTGGAGGGAAAAGTCAGAACTTTTAAATGTAAAGTGGGAATTTAGAGGGAAAAGTCAGAACTGTGAAATGTAAAGTGAGAATTTGGAGGGAAAAGTCAGAACTGTGAAATGTAAAGTGAGAATTTGGAGGGAAAAGTCAAAACTGTGAAATGTAAAGTGGGAATTTGGAGGGAAAAGTCAAAACTGTGAAATGTAAAGTGGGAATTTAGAGGGAAAAGTCAGAACTGTGAAATGTAAAGTGAGAATTTGGAGGGAAAAGTCAGAACTGTGAAATGTAAAGCTGGAATTTGGAGGGAAAAGTCAAAACTGTGAAATGTAAAGTGAGAATTTGGAGGGAAAAGTCAGAACTGTGAAATGTAAAGTGAGAATTTGGAGGGAAAAGTCAGAACTGTGAAATGTAAAGTGAGAATTTGGAGGGAAAAGTCAGAACTGTGAAATGTAAAGTGAGAATTTGGAGGGAAAAGTCAGAACTGTGAAATGTAAAGTGAGAATTTGGAGGGAAAAGTCAGAACTGTGAAATGTAAAGTGAGAATTTGGAGGGAAAAGTCAAAACTGTGAAATGTAAAGTGAGAATTTGGAGGGAAAAGTCAAAACTGTGAAATGTAAAGTGGGAATTTGGAGGGAAAAGTCAGAACTGTGAAATGTAAAGTGAGAATTTGGAGGGAAAAGTCAGAACTGTGAAATGTAAAGTGAGAATTTGGAGGGAAAAGTCAGAACTGTGAAATGTAAAGTGAGAATTTGGAGGGAAAAGTCAGAACTGTGAAATGTAAAGTGAGAATTTGGAGGGAAAAGTCAGAACTGTGAAATGTAAAGTGAGAATTTGGAGGGAAAAGTCAGAACTGTGAAATGTAAAGTGAGAATTTGGAGGGAAAAGTCAGAACTGTGAAATGTAAAGTGAGAATTTGGAGGGAAAAGTCAGAACTGTGAAATGTAAAGTGAGAATTTGGAGGGAAAAGTCAGAACTGTGAAATGTAAAGTGAGAATTTGGAGGGAAAAGTCAGAACTGAAATGTAAAGTGAGAATTTGGAGGGAAAAGTCAGAACTGTGAAATGTAAAGTGAGAATTTGGAGGGAAAAGTCAGAACTGTGAAATGTAAAGTGAGAATTTGGAGGGAAAAGTCAGAACTGTGAAATGTAAAGCTGGAATTTGGAGGAATTTTAGTTGTGTTTTTGTTACTTGTACCCGTTGTGCTGTATCAGGTTAACTCTTTATATTCTAAAATCGTGTCTGAAACCGCATTTAAAACACGACGCCTGCCGCTTAGTTTACGTATTGAAATGCGTTTGTGAGCTTGTGATCCTCTACCGTTTGTCATTGCTATGGCCACCGTCAGCTGTTCCTACACACGTGCAGCGATCAATGTTCAGAACAGTTCAGCTTTTGCCGCTGTGTGGATTAATACTGAAGGTGTGTCAAGGTTAAGAATAGAGCAATATGCTGCTGTTTACTTTAATGCACTCCTGTGTAGTTGAAATTACGGGAAATGGGTCAATAAATAAAACTGGAGGGTGGCGGGAGATGGGTCTGAAAGACGGGAGACTCGGGGGTAAAACAGGAGTGTTGGTAAGCACGCTCACACATACAATCTGCACTCTGACTTCTTCAACAAGGCTGATAAGCCGGGGTGGGCGCTTTACTCTGTCTTGCGCTGAACACAGTGGACCAATCGCAACAGACTGGGTCATGGGACCAATCAGGGCAGCGATTAAGGAACAAATGAATCGCTGAATGAATCATATGGGAGTCTCAGTGATAATCAGGTCAAAATAAATGCAGATTATAAGACAATGAAAGTGTTTTTTGACCTTGCATGCAGATCAGCCTGTTGTTGGAGACCCATAACCAAAATATAACCCTTTTAATAAAATAATAAATAAAATAAAATATAGTAAAACAATAAAATAAACAAGTAAATAACAGGGTGAGAATGTGGTAAAAAAAATGGTAAAATCTAGACAAGGGCTTTTTTTTCTGGATTGCTTTTGAAAACACAGTCAGTTGGGTTTAGGGAAGGAGGAGGGTGGGTCAGTCGATCAGTTAGTCAGTCAACAACAGCCTCTAGTGGATTTACGTGAAAACAGCAGGCGGTAATGGCACTCATGAGAGAAATTTGAGATCTGAAAGACATGCACAGCGTCCTCTGGTGGATTTACGAATACAAAAACTGCAAAAAACGTAGCTCCTGTGACATATTTGGCGCTCTCCAGAAATGTATACAGGGGTACGTATTCAGAATGAGCCTGGGTTGGTGGCATCCTAGCAGCACCATAGAACATAATGGTGACTCAACAACGATAAAAACTAATCATAACAATTGATCAGCAAGTAATAAAGTGCTTTATTTTCTTGAAGTAAATGATCGTTTCTGATTTGTGTGTGATCTTTGAGATGGATTATGAAGCGGACGTGATGGTGTGTGTCGTTCTGTGCTGAGTGAATGAAGGGCTGTGATTGGTGTTGGAGCAGCAGAGAGAAGCTCAAGGACACTCAGAGGAAAGCAGAAAGTCAAAGTCACATTGTGTCTGGGTTGTTGGAGGAGATTGGCATTAATGTTTCATCAGTGCTGTATTTGTGCCGGACGTTTGTGGCATTAAACTTTCATGTCTTCGCTGCCGCCGCCACATCCGTCAGGAAATGACTTCTTTAACAGAACAGGAGAGACTCACGAGATGGAGACTTGATGAGCAGCTGTGTGTGTGTGTGTGTGTTGTGGTCATACATATGTGCATGTGTGTGCATGTTTCTCTTCGTTAAACAGAAATTTGGGACAAAATATACTGGAAGGCAAATAGTTTAGGACTTCTGACCACTTCTACAACTTATGTAAATCGAAGATTGTAGTTGTTGCATTAAATGTGTGTCATCATAACAAATACATTAAAATGTGACCAAAAAAACAGTCAAAAAGGGGAATTTTCTTTGTGGATTATTAATGTTCCCACTTATTTATTATTTGGAGAATATTTGGATACATGACTATTTGAAAATCTGAAATCTGAGAGTTAAACAAACCTTAATATTGAGAAAATCACCTTTAAAGTTGTGCAAAATAGTTTTTTTTAACACATATTATAATAATTATAATATGTGTTAAAAAAAAATATTTTTAACACATATTATAATATTCCAATATAACACATAATATTCCAATCTTACATAAAAAACTGACAGTAACAAAACTGACTTATTATAGCATTTAAGATAATTTAACAATTACCCCATTGAAGAAAACATTTAATAATAATTAATATAAATACAATCAATAATAATAATAATAAAATAATTATAATGACAAGAAATAAACATAATAAATAATATCAAAATAAATAATTATAATAACAATAAATAAATAGAATAAGAAATAATAATACCAATAATAATAATTAAGAATAAATAAATAAAATAATAATAATGACATTAATAATAATTACAATAAATAAATAAATAGAATAATAATAATAACATTAATAATAATAACAAAGTATAAATATAATAATAATAATAATAACATTAATAATAATAACAAAAATAAATAAATATAATTGTTAATAATAATAACATTTTTAATAATAAAATAATAATATAACTAATTATAATAACAATAAATAAATAAATATAATAGGTAATAATAATAACATTAATAATAATAACATTAATAATAACAATAAATACATATAATAATAATAGCATTAATAATATTAACAATAAATAAATAGAATTGGTAATAATAATAACATTAATAATAATAACATTAATAATTACAATAAATTAATAAATAAATAAAATAATAATAATAACATTAATAATAACAGCAACAGAAAATAAATATAATTGGTAATAATAACATTTATAAAAATAAAAATAATCATAATAATATAACTAAATATAATAACAAGAAATAAATATAATAGGTAATAATAACACTAATAATAACAATAAATAAAAAATAAATAGAATAATAATAATAACAACATTCATAATAATAGCATTAATAATAACAATAAATTAATAAATAAAATAATAATAATATTAATAATATACAATAAATAAATAAATAGAATGAGTAATAATAATAGCATTATTCCTAATAATAATAATCGTAATATATAAATTGTATAATAACAATAAATAAATAGAATAAGTAATGATAATAATAATAAATAATAATAATAACATAAATAGAAGAAAAACTAATAATAAAATAAATTGAATAAAAAGAATAAATAATAATAATATTACAAGAGAAAAATATATACACACATTCACATTTAAATAA